TTTTATTACTAAATAACCTAATCTAAGCCGATTATGCCTAAATAATATAATTATATTATTTAGGCATAATCGGCTAGTCTATTAGTCTAAAAGGTCAATACTGGCTATTATATTATTAGCTATATTTTCTTATTTAATTTACTTAGCAGTAATAAATTCTCTTGCAGAATCTGATATAAATGCTTTAATATTAATTTATTATTTTAATTTTTACCTATTAATTGTTCAATATACCTTATAATATATTCTATTCATAATTATTCAGAACTTGTCTTTTAAGTATCCTAAATTAATGATTACCCTTTTAATAATTAATATATTTTCACCTGATTATATTATTTTAAATATAAGTTCTTAAAATTTTTTGACATTGTTAATAAAAGTTTTTTACTAAGTTTTATGATTTAAAATCTTAAAACTAAAAGCAATAAATTTAAAACTACTTAAATTTTTTATTTTTTATAAAAAAAAAGGTTATTTGAAATACAAATCTTAATCATTAATATTTAAATATATATATTTCTTTATTAAATAAAAGTCTATTATATCATTTAGTTTAAGTTGATTATAAAGTTATACTAAATGTGATTAAAATAAAATATTATGATATTTAAAAAGAATACTATTATTATTAATATCTTTATTAAAAAAAAAAAGTTTAAATATTTATATTTACATGTATTATTATTACAAAAATTATTTTCCATTTATCTTTTAATACTGGCTAAAATAAATTTCTTCTGCTTCTTCTTTAATATATATATTTTTAAAATAATTAAAATTATTATAATTTGATAAATATTTATGATATAAATTAGTTTGTTAGTTATAATATTCAAGATTAACTTTATTGTTTGAATTCTTCATTTTTTAACTACAAAAAAATACATATCAGATTATTTATTATTAGAATTAAAAATTATAATATAAATATTTTAAAACTTGTAACTGAGATGATTAAATTTAGATTAACAATTGTAATGCAAAATATTTATTTGTGTTTAACAAATCATTTGAATTATTAATATACAATTTTAACTGATAATTACTTCATAATCACTAATATAAAGAATATTATTTTTACTTTTAGAAATTTTTTCAATCATATTTTTAACTCTGATTGATTTATTTTATATATAAATTTTACATTTGATTCAATTTAGCTTAATTTGAGTTATATGTTAATCAGATATAAAATACTAAAAATTTAATTTATTTTAATTTATTTAATAAAAATATTTAATTAATTGATATTTTATATACATTAATAATATCAATTAAATATTAAACTAAAAAAAAAAGAAAAAAAATAAAGTGGAATTTTAAAAATTAAAATAGAAGTTGTAAATAAAAAAAAAAATAAAATAAAATTCCATTTTTATTTTTTTAATCTTCATTTTAATTTTTTTGAAACTCCATTTCATTTGTTTTTATTTTTTTAACTTTTATTTACAAATTTTTTAAATTTTGCACTTTTATTTTTTTTTATTTAATCTTTGTTTTAATTTTTTGAACTTTACTTTATTTTTTTATTTTTTCAACCTTTATTCTAATTTTTTGCATTTCATATTTTTATTTTTTTATTTTTTCAACTTCTTTCTGTTCTAATTTTTTAAACTGTTTTTATTTTTTTATTTTTCAACTTAATATTCTATTTTTTTAAATTTTAAATTTGTATTTATTTTTATTTTAATGACGAAGAACTACGGTCAAATATATTCATTAGGCCCTTGTAACCTATGTTTTAGTTCGCAACTATGATCTCTTTATATGTACGCAATACACAAGGACAACTAAAATGCGATATTAAAGAATCACATGTTCTAGAGCTTTTGGATTCGAATAATAGGCGAAATTATGAAGAAGTCTGTGACTATAACATTAACGAAAACATTAATGATAATGTTAACTTCACTATAATTTGTCTAAAATCAAATTTATAAATTTTTTTAATTTTCTAAATTGCTATTATAAACCGTTTTGGAAATAAAGCTTAATATCAACCAAATTGTAAAATTTATTGTACAACGATATAATTTTAAATTTCTTCACGTGCCACTCCCCTGTATTTATTGCTATTATTGGTTAAAGATCTTTTTTTTTTTTTTTTTCCTCACCGGCTAAAAAGACTTTTTTTTTTATCAAAACCTTATTTATAAGTAAGCCATAAACTTGATACAAGTTATTAAAAAAAAATAAAATTACTCAAAAAGAAATAAACATGAAGTCATTTTGGGCTTCCTACAGATCTTTACCACCTAAAACACGCGTTTATCTTGGTTTAGGTATGACGAATTAAGTCTCGGTAATTTATTAAACAGAAATTTTCTTTAATATTGATTCAAATATTTTTTACACGATTACTTGTGTATGAAATTATAAGGCGGAATAACATTAGCTTTAACTGGTCATTTTGTTAGTGACTGGTTAGAGAACAAAATCCCTGTAGATTCTCAACAAACTAGTGATAGTGCCTCATCAAGTCAAACAATCAACACTTCCCAATAATTTTTAAAATAAATAAAGTCAATCTTAATTTTTAACATTGACGTATTCTATAAAGATATTAATTAATCACGATAATTTGTACGCGTTCAGAAATTAATACATTAAAGTACAAAATCATAAATTTTTTCTTGTTGAAAGATTCGATGATTGCGAAGCAGATGTCAAAGGAATTATTTCTTCCTTTTTCTGTAATATGAAATTAAGCAAATTCTTGAGAAGTCCGGATTTGTTTCGTGCTGGAATCAAATCGATATTATAAGATTTCGTATCTGAAAAAAAAAAAAAAAAGAGTTAATAGATATTACAAATAATTGAAGAGAAGTAATATACAAATAACGAACCGAAAGATGGAAGAGCATTGTCATTAGCACTTAAGGAAATGAAATAAGAAAATGGAATTAACCAAACGCAAATTCCAAAGAACGCAGCAATGTCCACGAAAACAAAGTAGACAGACGTAAAATACTGAAACCAAATAAAATGGTCGACCAACACCAATACTGAAAAAAAAAAAGACGAGAAATAATCATTTATAGACAATGTAATTAATATATATAACACAAAAAAAAAAAACAAGCAAAAGAAAATTTTTATACCACAACTCGCGATAAAAGGCAAACTTGTCAAACTAATAAACGGGAAGGTTTTTAGGTTCAATGTATATACGCCATGACACATTATGGAAAAAATGGTGCGCCAAAATGGAAGCCTATCGAATAACAGTAGAAGAAAATGAATTGCCACAACCACCTAATTTTTTTTTTTGTTTACAAAAGATTATTAGTATCAGCCTAATCTCAAATGAAATTATTATTTACTTACCAAAGTTACGTTTTTTATAATCTTTTTTGTTAAAACGGTATATTCTTCGACGAGCTCGGCTAAATAATCAAATGACGTTATAAAATGAATCAACAACACAATTTTTGACAATTATAATTACCTAAATAATATAGTCCACATGCTTTGGAAAAGAATTTTATTTAATTAGTGCCACATTTATTACGCGTCATAAAACTTGTTCGAAATTTGCAAACAAAAAAATTTAGTACCTAAGCTCAAGGTTAAAAATAAAAACGCGAGTAGGGCTGCTCCATATGATAATACGTGTAATAAAGTCATTTTTATTTTATTTGGAATGTGAGAATTATTAAATAATCCCGTTTTTTTTTTATAAGGTCGAGTTTAATTAAACATCCAATGAAATTATGACAGGTCACGGCTTTATAAGAAATGCTAAACTTTATTTGGCAAGTCAAAAAATTATTGTATATATACTCAAAAAAGAAGGATCAGGACCCTTCCAAGTTCTGACATTTTTATTTGAAAATCAGATCCACAGATTGCAAATTGTTCATCCTCTACTTTTGTTGTCGTTTTTTTTAATGGATCGTCTCCATTATAAGATTTTTAATTAGTGAACATTATCTTCTCGACCTCCACAAATTATGAAATGATCCTTTATATTTGAAATCCTAATAAGTAATATAATAGGATTTTCATGATTTTCATGTGCTATTTAAAAAAAGGTTATTAAATTCTTACTCCCCCAAAAGAAGATAATAAATAAACTCGTTTGAATTTCTAAATCCTTTGTTTATAATTATAAAAGAACAACTTTTCAATTAGCGAGAGAGAGTTGAGTTCTTGAAAAAAAAATATATATATATATATTTACTAATTTCTACAGAAGAACGTATAAAATTCTAGCATATCAAAGATATGACGGCCTCAAAAGTACCTATAGTTTACCACCCAGGTTATAATATCGTATTCTGGAATTTTGAAAAGGTCAGTAAAAAAAAAAAATAAAAAATAAAAAAAAAACCTTGAAATGATTAATATAATTCTTAAAATATAGATATTTTACAATTGAAATATAGATTCACCCATTTGATACTCAAAAATTTAAAAGGATTCATCGAATTTTATTAACATCCGGCTTACTTAACGTCAATTCATTTTACGAGCCGTCTCCTCCTACTTCAGTTGATATAGCTAATTTACATTCGTCACAATATCTTGAATCATTAAATAGTAATGTTCAAATACAAAAAATTTTGGAAGTCCCTTTTTTGGCCGTTTTGCCTCAAGTTTTAGTGAAGAAAAAAGTATTGGAACCGATGTTGTTGCAAACTGGTGGGAGTGTTCTTGCCGCCGAATTGGCATTAGAATATGGTTGGGGAATTAATTTGGGTATGAAATATTATTAGGATTTCTTTCTCGATCTTAAGATTTACTAATTAACAGTATGTTCTTCTTTAGGGGGAGGATTTCATCATGCACATTATGATGGCGGTGGTGGTTTTTGTGTTTACGCAGATATTACCTTGGTGGTCGAGAAAATATTATCAAAATATCCGGATCAAGTTTCGCGCGTGATGATCGTGGATCTAGATGCTCATCAGGTATAACGTATTATTCATTCATTCATTCATTTCTTAAAGGAAGTTGATTCCTTCGCTTACTTTTTTTTTTTTTTTTTTCCTGTTGTTGTAGGGAAATGGATATGAACGCGATTTAGCCCATAATAGTAAAGTTCACATAGTAGATGCATTTAATGTTCACATATACCCACAAGATAATGACGCTTTCTCTTCAATCACGACGCCGATTCCATTGACTTCACCAGAATTAAAGCAGGATGATAAATATCTTCCTCTTATTCAATCAAATATCTTTCAATCATTTCATAAATTTCATCCTCATTTCATTATATATAATGCAGGAACAGATTGTTTAAGTGGAGACCCTCTTGGGGCAATGGATCTATCAGCTGAAGCTATACTGAAAAGAGATGAACTTGTATTTCAAATGGCTCTAGATCATGGAGTTCCTATTGTCATGTTATTAAGTGGAGGTTATCAAAAGAAAAACGCAGAAATTATTGCCGAGAGTATCCTAAGTTTAATTCATAAGTTTGGTCTTTTGGAGGGACGTAGAAAGTCTGTTATGACTACTCATTAGTCAATTTAAAATTTTATCACAATGTATTATTATTGATCAAAATCATTTAGTGTAATTTTTATGGTATTTTTGTTTTTTTTTGTAATATACAAGTATATATATATAAACGATTGCATGATTTGATCCTGTGTTATCCGCAGTAAAGATCAAATTTTTTTTAGAATAATCAATGACGGATCTTTCCCATAAAAGAATTCCCACAATTTTTCTTTCTTATCCATTTCACATGAAATTTTTGAGTACAAACGTTTTTGTTCGCTATAATCATACATAAACAAATATGCATACTACTGCGTTATCAAAGAATATCGCAGATCTTCATTAAATTTTTTAGATGTTTTTACAATAAATAAATTGATGATCGTTTTACGTCAAATTTGTTAGTTTTTCCGGATTTATTATAAATATAAAAATATAAAAAAGATTCCCTCATTTTACAATTTTTTTTTTTTTTTTTATAAAAAATTTATTTTTAATACAACATGCATCCATTCATTCCAACGATTAAGCAAACCTTTAAGAGGTTAATGTTCATGTTTCCAGCCCACGCGCTGGTTTTCATCCTAACATGGCTTGGAACTGGTCCAAACTCCAATCGACTATTACCCTTTTTAAATTTACCGATAATTTATATATTAGTTCGTAAAAGCCCAACATTAATAAACATCCCTTTATTAACAGCACTTATTTTAGGAGCAGCTTTGGCTCACAATGAGCCATCAACCTCTCCAATGGAGAGTTACTTTGATGATTTTTCAATTCTAATAATCGTGGGGGCATCGATCTCAATCATAACGTTAGCGCCTATGATCCTTACTAAATTCATCATGGTAAAGGTTAATGAAAGATTTGAAAATTTCACACATAATCTGAATTCGAGAATTATATTTCCAATCATTTGGACGGCAATTTGGTCATTATTTCGAAGATATTCCCCGTTGGGTTCCTGGGGGGACTGGTCCTACACAATATATAGTTCAGGACTCGCAGGTGATTCTATCATGCAGTTAACATCAATTGGCGGACTTGGCGCCATCAATTTCTTATTAGCATTGTGGACGCAAATAATTTCGGACTTTTTCATCTTGAATCACAGGATTAATAGAGCAACACGTACCGTAATAATAGATGAGGAGACACCTTTGATCTCTGAAATTGAACAACCTCAACCATCAAATAATCTCAAGGTGTATAAGGATGATTTAACCGTGAATTATTATTTGCGTATTTTGATCATTCTAGCAGTTCTATTTTGCTTATTTATAGGTGGAGAAAGATTAAAACACATGGAGAGTAATGTTAATCGCATACCTTATGAGAGAGTTGGTTGTATTCTTCCCACTCACAACACGAGTGCTCAAGAAATGTTAAAAAAAACTGCGACCATCTCGACTGGTCTTCAAGCAAAGATTGTATTGTGGAGTGAGTCTGCATTAGCATTAAGAAACGATGATGAACTTGATGATTTGTTGGAAAAAGCTTATAGAATTACAACGGCACATAAATTTTATTTGGGTTTGACATACACGATTCCAACTGGAGAAAACGGTCACAAAAAAAAAAACATGTTAAGATTTATCGGGCCAAACAATATAACATTATTTGAATATCAAAAGACTCATCCCGTTCCATGGGTAGAATCTTATTCTATTGAAAGTGGTCCGGGTAAGTTAAAAGTAGTAAATGCAGAAATTGAAACCAAAAGCAAAAAAGAATTGCATAAATTGGACGTGAGCGGAGCCATTTGTTTAGATATGGATTTTCCGGAATTACTTGGACAAGCAGCGGCTGCGGATTTTGTTTTGTCCCCGGCACAAACTTGGTCCGCGCAGGTTGGATTACAACATTTACAAATGTCGTCGGTACGGGCTATCGAAAACGGTTATTGGATATTGAGATGTGATGGTGGAGGAGCCTCGGGGCTCATCGGTAATAACTGCGTTTTTTTATATATAACGATGACATTTTAACAATTTTTGTTTCTTAAATTAAAAAGTTTATTAAATTGAATTTTTTTAATGTTCTCGATTTATATAGATCCTTATGGTCGTGTTCGACACTTTGAAATTTCGTCGAATGAACAAGTGAATATATTCGCTTGGGAAATGCCTTTTTCGGAAGAAAAAATCGAGACTTACTACTCTCAATATGGTGAATTTGCAGTATGGGGAGCCCTAATATTTTTAGGATTGGCAGAATTACTTTGGTACTTTTCTTGGAAGGTAGCCGAAGAAGATATGACATCTTTATCGGATGCATCTAAGGAATTTCTTAGGAAGCGACAAGAATGGGCTGAGGAAAAGTACGATGAAATTTTTGATCAAGAGGAATTAAGTTTAAGGGCGAAACAAAGCTTAATTTAGTAATATTCATTTTATTGGGGGTTTTTTTTTTGTGTATAAATTTTCATGTCGATAATCTTTCATTCGTTTAAAGATTTATTAAACTATGAGGCATAACCAAACTTTTTTTTTTATAGTTTATCTTGTAAAAATATTTGTTGTTTATAGTATATATAGTTTCGGATCATTTCTTTCATATCACAATAATTAATTGAAAAACCATTTTACATCATTAAAACATTGATACTTTTGGGAGAGCTCCCTTCATAATCACCGGTTTTCATCTTAGAACCACTTTGTTGGTTTGGGTATTGACCCCAAGCTAATGATACAAATTTCTTATTTATACATGTTGATATCAAAGTGGTTACTTTTGAAAAAAATACCCGTAACTTTTTTAACAGTAACTAATATCTATTATTAATTCTCCACCTAATGAAGAAACTGCTTTTGGTCATAAAAATAAAAAAAAAAATTTTTTCGAATAATCTTTTTTGATCTTAACAAAAAAAAAAAAAAAAGTTTGATTTTATTAATCCCGATCGTGGCGAAGGACTATACTAGAATTCGTATAAATTTGGAATCATGATATTTCTTTAGTATAACTTGATAAAATCGCTAAGTAGCTAAAATTCTTAATACATTGCACATATTCATTAATCGCTATAAATTATTAGTAAATATGTAAGGACTCGTTATCAAATATCATTTTATACAAGTTTAATAAGTCTTCGTTAATAACCGCTGGATATGATATGATATATCTTAACGCATATATTGAAATTACTATTCGGAGCTAGCCTCTAATAATATATCGACCTAGCTGAATTAAAACAAAGACGCAATTCGAAATGTTAATGGATATTTTGAATTTTTGTGAAGTTTTACATAAACGATACAAAGAGTTAATATCCACCTATGAAAAAATAAAAGCCAGTGCTATGGTTAAAACCGAGGTCAATTCGGGAATCAAAATTTAATGATGATACATTGCAAAAGAGAAGGGAAAATTCCAAAAAAGTATAGAAGGCTTTTATGGGTGTTGGTGGTAAAACAAAAATTTCGGATCTATTTGTAATCTAAAGATAATATTTATCGCTTAATTCGCCTTAACATTTTATACGTAATTTTTTCTGAATTTATAATTAACGAAAATTTTCTGAAGTCATGTAACATAAATAAAAATATTCAAATGCGAGCATATTTAATGTAATTACAAGTCACGAAACACAAAAAAAAAAAATTTATCCTAATCTAACTCAAAATTTTAAAGCTTTACGGAATTTTGTAAACTATACAGTGATTAATCCTTCGCGAGCCATATTGGGTAAAACTTTATTACCATGAACAATTTTAGATTCAATGATAATAGCCATGAGTCCATTACCCAGCCAAATCAACTCATGATGATACGCATAGCAAAAATAAGAACATCAAAAGAGAATCAGCCGCGAAAAAGGGGTTGTCGTTATAATATTTTCTAGATATTTATTTCTCTCATTCGGTTTAAGTAGAGAGCGCATACGTTGTACATTAGGAAATTCATAAAGTAGATCGATATCATGCATTCAATCTGGCCTCACTAGCTTAATAAAAATAAATGGTTAATCAAGAATATTGAAGAATGATAACAATGAATTCAATACTTTGTTTCTTTCCTAAGTGACGGCGATGATGATAATGGTGATGATTTATTCCATAAGACTTGAACGATAGTACCGTTATCCTATAAAAAAGCAAATTCATTTAGAATCATTTCTTGGTAAGAATAATCAGACAAAAGTTAAACTAAGATGGCGGATGCAGGAAAATTCCAGTAGTAAACTTTAGTTAAGGCAAAGATTGATATCGAGTACCGGTAAAGTTATAAGTTTCATTTAAGAGTAAAGAAGTTGCATGGTCGATCCTTATTTCAGAGTCAACGGATCTTTATCGAGAAACTATAACTGGAAAATTCCATAAGGTCTATCAAAACCCGCAACCCCCATCCGTCGTCTAAATTTTTCATCCCACTATACTTACTTTTTTTATTGTTTAGGAGTTCCTGAGCAAAACAACGAGTGTTGTGATGTGTCTTCTTTTATCTATCAATAACTGTTGAAACAAAATGCTGGAGTGACCACGGAGAAAGAACTCGAGGTAGTTTCGTATGGAATTTTTCAGTTTCTCGTTGATAAGCAATAAGGTAGACATGATAAGAAAAAGAAAAGGAGAAGAAACAAACTTTTGATGCGAATATCGTTGGTGGGTCACTAATATACTGATCGACAATGTGCTATGATTCCATTTTTAGCGTAATAGCTTAGGGGAATTAACCCGATATAGTATGTAGTTCGTTAGACGATGTTATATTAATAAATATTAATAGATTAAATTTTCTCCCATTTAATCATTAGGATATTTCTCATTGACAATCAGGAAAGGCAAAGATTCGTAAAAAAATCAAAGATCGCCTCCGAAACTTCTCTTTTAAATATTATCTAAGTAGCTTTTATTTTTTAGTCTTGACAACAAATTTCATTGATAAAAAGCAGACGAATATTAAATGTTTAATGATTCACAAAAAGTGTCCGGACTTTATAACGGGTTCCGTTTCCTGATGAACATATTAATCCCTTAGCACGATCCGCGGATATGTTCACTTTTTGATAATCAGAAAAAAAAAAAATTTCAAATCTTTTTTTTTTAAAAAAAAAATGTATGTTCATAGGTGTCGTTTCGTTGAATATATGCCAGCAGCTATTAATGCTCTTGCATTTACACCAAGTACTACTAAACCATTGATCGCATGTGGCCGAGCTAATGGGGATATCGAAATATGGAACCCACTTAATTTGCACCTGGAAAAGGTACTTAGTTGCATTCTATCATGACAATTACTTGACATTAAACTAATCGTTTTTTTTTATTGTAAACGATAGAGAATATTAGGTGAATTAAATACTTCTGTGGAAGCAATTATATGGGCACATAAAATAACTTTAACGGAAGCGGATAAGATAACTTATAATACACAAGCTAAACAGGATAAAGCTTTAAAAGAGTTAACCAGTAAACCACCAAGATTATTTTCTGCAAGTGCTAACGGGTTGATAGCGGAATGGGACACGATAAAATTAAGTTGTAAGGTAAAGATATATATATATATTTTTACATATAATGTTTGTTGAATTTTGAAAACTTTATGCATTCCCCATTTGGAATTCATTGTTTGTATTAATTTAATCCTAGAAATTCATTGATTCACATGGAGGAGCAATTTGGTGTATGGCTGTTAATCACGCGAATACATTAATTGCTGTTGGATGTGATGATGGGGGTATACGGATATTTAAGATTATCGATGATGGACTATCTTTAATCCATAATTATGACAGAAAGCAAGCAAAAGTAATGTCTTTAGCTTGGGATATGGAAGACAAACATATCGTATTTGGAACTTCAGATAGTAAGATAATAAAATGGAATGTTGAACAAGGTATTAATAATAAGGGAAAGGGACTAACAATAAATGTGACAAATTGTATTAACTTTTTTTTTTTTAAAAAAAAAGGACGAGTAATACATAGGATGACTGTAGAAAAAAAATCACAGAAAGAAACTATTGTATGGGCAATTCAAGTGCTCAAGTAAAGATTTCATTTTAAATAATTAACAAATTATTGTATATACAAAATTTAATTTTTTTTTTTTTTTGTTTTAGAGATGGCACTATAGTAAGTGGCGACTCACTCGGTCACGTATGTTTTTGGGAAGGAACATTTGGAACTATGAAACAAAAACTTGGAGCTCATGACGCCGATGTTTTATGTCTGGCTTCGAATCTCGTAATTATCTTTAATGGCAAGATCTATTTTTTTTTTTATATCTAGTATTTAAAAAATTTTTTTTTTTTTTTAGAATGGTACAGCGATTTATTCTTCTGGGATAGATCGAAAATGTTTTGTATATCGGATTGTGTCTCAACCAAAATCATATAGTAAAGATAATTCAGTACCAAATGAAAGACATTGGGTAAAAGTGGGGTATAGCCGTCATCATATGCATGATGTGAAAGCTCTCGCGATATGTGAAGGACGAGATGTAAATTCTTTAATTTCTGGTGGTAGGTAATTTAAGGAATCGTGATTTTTTTTTTAAAAAAAAGAAAAATGGTGTTACTTCTCAACGTTAACAAGAATGAATTGCTTTGTATAAAGGTATTGATACAACTATGGTTGTCGCGCCAATTTTAAATTTCCCTAAAAATAAATATCATAGGCTACCTTTTGTTCCATTGAAACTTATGATCAGTATGTCCAAATCTAAACAATTAATTATGTTCTATTGTAATAATCAAATAAAAATTTGGAGGTTGGGGAAAGGTAAGAAGAATACATGTAAATTCTTTAATCTCTTTTAAGGAATCAAATTAATGTTGTTTTATTTTTTTTTTTTATAGCAAAGTTACCGAGGTTGTATCAATTCGAACAAAAGGTTCCTCGTTTGGAGTTAGTAGAACCTCAACAAGCTATTTTAGAAATAACATTAAAGGTCTTTTATTTATTACGTGCTATCGTTTAATGAACTGTTTGATTAATAAAGTATTAATCTCACTTTTAGAGCAATCATCAATTGATGATCGGATCGATATCTGAAAACGGGAATGGATAGCAGTATCTGACATTGAACGTATCAAGTTATTCAAAGTTCTTGAAGACGCAAGTATAATATAATAATATGTAATGAGTTTTTTTTTTTTTAAAAAAAAAAAAAATGACATATAAACAAATTATAAATTTACATCGGTTAATGACCCAGGTCATTTAAGGGTACGTAAAATAAATGATTTTCCACAAATAACTATAGACGGACGAAATGTTGGATCTAATTTATTAGGGCTCACACCAGACGGAAGTAAACTTGTGGTAGTTTTTATGAATTCAGAAATAGTAATATATGGACTTGATATTGAAGTAGGGGATGAAGTTGATGTCACAGTTTAGAGCGATTTGATGAATATTCACAAAATCCCGACTGTTAACCATTGACTACCTTGACTATAAGTGATGATGGTAAATGGTTAGCAACCGGTGACCTTTTGAATCGGATTAATGTGTATAATTTGGAAACTCTTGAGGTATTTGAACATTATCATTTAAATATTTGGTTAAAGATAGACTAATTAAATTAATAATCATAAATTTTTCGCCTAAATTTATAATAGCATCATATGACTATCGATAAATTTTCTTCTATTCACACATCATTAAAATTTCATCCATTTAAACCTATACTTGTAATAACTTTAATGTCAAATCAATTTTATCTTTTTGATTTGCAAAAAAAAGAAATTAACTGATTGGTTACAACAATATTCAGAAATGCTTCCACGAGATTTTCTTAAAGATAAGATCATGGGATGTTCATTTAATCCTCTTCTGACAGTATGATCCTATAGGGAGCTAAATATTTATGCTTGCAGGATTTTAATAAATGTAAAATAGAAGATACCGAAGAATTAATTTGTATTAGATGTTCAGGATGGCAATCTAACCGAAAATTTTAAATAAACCTATGAAAATAGAGCAATCAGATGAAAAAAGACAAGAAGAAATAGATCGAATACGATAAATTTTCAATTAGTTACTAGATATCAAATATTAATATATTTAAATTTTATAGAACATAATCAATTAGTCATAGTAGAAAGATCATTTACTTCTATTTTAGAGAATCTACCACCATCATTTTATAAAGCAAAATATGGTACATAAGAGCGAAAAGTATGATATTAACTAGTTTATTTTTATAATAAAATGCAAAAATCTCATCAAGTAGAAATTTCGTATTAAATAAAGTTGTGTTAGGGATAATATATTTATCAGGGTGTGGTTAATAAGGTAACGTCGGATCAGGAAAGTAATATTTACACAATGGTGGAGACCGAGGATGCGTTGAGGTTGAAATATACGTTGTATCTATCAATAAGTAAAGTTTAAAGAGCATGCTAAAGCTCTGATACATGGGGGCGCTGCTGTACAGGTTATTTATAGGGACCCAAAATTTCATTTAGCATATCTGTATAGGGAACTGATGATAATAATTCTGTTCGAAGATATGAACCTGTTTAATAAAAGCATATTAGGTTTATAATTTTTTCATAATGTATGATCATATTAAGTTAGACCAACTTTTTGCAAAAAGTATATGCATACTTATTTATTTTTATGGGAGGTAAGCAATAGCTAATTTATTTGGATTATTTCTTTAGGTAGCTTGCTGAGCTTAGTCTAACGAGTTACTTTTACATCGCAAACTAAGATAAATTCACAAATGCATTAATAATATACTATTACTGGAACGATGTTCCACATTATATTTTATCAACATTTAATTTTCATTAAATGCCTCAAAATTCAGCACAGTTACACGAAGCAAAAGTGTACTACCAAAAAGAACATTCAGTAAGAGTGTGTTGCATTAATTTTTTTTTTTTTACGGAATTTATGCAATATATCTAAAATTCATAATCCTTTACGGAAAAAAATTAACTGTAAAAGTTTTCCTGAGCAAAGAAATAACATCATATATTCACTTGATTCTCTGGGTACATAGAAAATGATCCATTTATTGAATCTAAAGTTCAACTGTCACTCACTATCGATATAGTATTAGAGGAGTAATAATAGTTTTATTATTGGCCGGCATACCAGTATGTTTCGTATATCATAACTGGTATATCATGCGAACTTTAGGTCGTACAGGAAGGAAAATAAATCATAATATTAAAATAAATTATATATATACTAGCACACCTTGATATATACTAAAAAAAAATATCAGCAAAAAAATTTTGTAACTAATAAAATAAAGCAATTTTACAACATTTTGCGTTATTGGGAAAAGATAATTGTCATGTATTAATAGTGGTAGAATTAGGAAATTTTAAAAATGTTTAATACGATATTCGCAGAGAAATTAAACCACGCATGTTGAAATCAACAATGTTCCTGACAATTTTTTTCATACACGATGCGACGTACAATTTAGATTTTCCTAGCGTAAACACGAACAGATCGAATATAACTATTTAGCTCAAACCATTCTTCTTTTAAGGTTTTTAGCATTTGATCATATTCTTCGGGAGTTACTTGTAAAATTGGCATCAGCGGGACTTTCATATTTTCGTAAAATCTTACCATATCGTCATTCATCTATATAACCGGAGAAATCAATTACTCCAGAAATTTGGAAATTCGGAAACATGCCAGGCTTAAAAACCTCTTTCGTACATACCGCTTGACCAATTTTACCGGCTTCTCTACCCCCATATATAAGTTTGCCTTCTTCTTTAATATCTTCAAATTTCCTTGTTGCTCAATATAAGATTTTAACTTCGAAACCATATTTTTTTCAAGATCTCGTTGCTCGCATAAAGTTATCACTAAACAATTTCTAATGTCAATATAAAACCTAAAAACGACAGTATTGGATGCAAAAAGAAAATAAAAATAAAAAAGGATCGTAACCAGCATTTCCGATTATAGTTGAAGTTGGACCTAATCTTTCAGGAAATACATTAAATTCCATTAGCTGTTGAATAAAGAGCGAATAGTTAGTTAGATTTAGGATAACGTAAATAAAGAAATTCATGGAAACTCATTTTTTTTTTTTTGTTTTACCTCCAAATAACCACCAGGTTTTAACATTCTGGTTAGTTCTTCGATAACGGACTGCCATTTGTTTTTTGGAATTGAGCCAACCAAGAAACGTTGGAATATAAAGTCAAAAGTTTCATCGGCAAACGATAACCCTTCAAGAAGGTCTGCTTGAATAAATGTAAAGTTACTTGGCTTAATTCCTAAAGGTTGAACGGGCGAGATATCCACGCCAGTGATTTTTGCATTCGGATAGTTGGATGCCATTTCAAATGACCAGGAACCAGCACCACATCTTGTAATAAAGTTTTCTTTTGATGTGAATATTTCGTAGTAAAATGTCATCACATCTTCTCAATGATACATACCCAACATCAAGAACTTTGGAATTTTCGTCACTCAAGATATGTTCAACGGGAGAAGTAAAGTTGCCTTGCCAAACATATCTCATCAAAAAGTGTTGCATATGTAACCTATCGCATTCCTCATCATCATTTGGAAGAGGATACTTTGAAGTTTGTACGTTATGAAACCTCCTGCCATCAATATAACGGAATTCTTCCCTATCCACACCAGCCTTGCTCATAATCGGTTTATTAATTCGCTCTCGAGTAAATAAATTTCCCATATTATAAATTGGTACGTTGTAATAAACATTTCTATGGTTACTTGTGTTTTATTTTTAATACATTGTGTAAATTTTTAATGCTAAAAACGTCGGATGGGGCTTCGAATGTGTAACATCAAAGCAGATCGCTTTGTACTATTTAAGTTAACTTTTAAATGTTTTTGTTTCACAAGATCGGATTTTTTTTTTATCCGACACTGACCAAAGTTCTTTATATAAACAAATTTTCACGATCAAGATATCACTAAGATTATCATCAAAGATGCGGTTACAAGTTTAATCTCGATCATCTCGAAGATTAAATTTCCGTGCATTAAATGTAGGGGGTAGGGTCCTAGTAAGACCGGTCTTGGACCTGTTAATTGGACCGGTCCCTGCAGTCCTCCTGAAGATCGGTTTTTTATAGAATGATGATCTCGACATAACTTAAGTTGTTTTGTGGCGGCAAAGGAAAATCAAGGTTAAAATTTATTTTCATTTCTTTTAAAAGTAAGGGAAAAAAAGTTTTATTTTACTACAAAATGATGTACTATTTTAATTTGATTTTTTTTTTTTTTTTTTTTTAGATAATTCTCTTATTATTTTATTACCTATTATAAAGATGATAATGTTACAATTGTTCAAAATGAAGAAGATTTTCAGGATGATGATGAAATTAAGATGATGTTGCTTATTTTGATATTCAAGAGGAATTGACAATATCACGATTTATTAGGTCAGAACAAAAGGAATTTCTAAATCAACTTTATGGGAACATTTTGATCTTAACAATAATCGTCCTCGATAATGAAGAAATCAGTCAACGATTTCCTAATAATGAAGATCATAAAATTATTAATGTATGTAATTAAAAAATTTATATATTCTAATAACTTTTCTAATTTTTAATAATATACAATGCAATATAATATATAATGTATACGATCGGTTTTTTTGGGTATTCAAGAACATTTACATTTGATTCAATATAAAAATGATGATGAATATATATATAATGGCAAATGTAATTTATCATAAATTTGAGAAGTATTTAATAATTTTAGATGAATCATCACAAATTTCTTTATTGTTAGATCTAAGAGCAAAGCTATCTGCATTCAAAGATGAAAATAAAATTAACAAAGCAAACTTAATATTAAAGTTAAATGGATATCTCTTAACATCTACTTCAATTATGGCATCTATACCAGGTGATATTACAAATACAAGAAAATTTTTTCGGCAATTATGAAATAATAATAATAATTTACTTCAGCTATTTTATCATAAGCAAATAATATCCAAGAAGAATTTAGAAATGCCATGAGAAAATCAAAGTGATCCTTATTATGGTTGTAATAATAACAAGAATGTTTTCCAATTTTAAGTCAAATGGTGAGGATTATTTGTATATTCAATCTACAAGTGTAGCTTCAGAATAAGCTTTTTCAATTGTTGAATTAGTTATTTCACCATTAAGAAATAGATTAGAAGCAGAAACAGCTAGGGCAACATTGTGTTTAAGAATTGGTTTTATCAAGGTGTTTGTGAGAAATAATATATGTACAGTTAATGTAGAATATAGTAATTTGTAAAGAAGAAAGGAACACAGTTTTTTTAATATTAAACAATCTTATTTAGTACATAATTTTTATATTTGTATTCATTTATAATAAAACAAAACTTATTTAATCTTCTATAAAATTAAACTTTAATACTATATATATGCTAAACAATAACATGAAATATATAATACTTTACCAGTATTTTTTTCACTATATATTTAAATATATTTAATTAAATCCGAACATATTTTTGGGTGGGTGTTTGGATCTGTCCATGTTTTTGGTCGAAATCGATTTACTTGAGTAAATATTCATTCGTATGATTATTACATATTGCATTGTGTACATTTCTTGCTACATCGAGAAAATTCGAGATTAACTGATTAGTAAATCTACAAGATTCAAACCAGCCATGTTCAGGTTTTTTTCGTACATGAATAATTCGATTATTTATTTATTATTCGGGATTTCCTTCAAACAAAACGAGCCTACAGAATTTATCAAAAATCAAAAAAGGAAATAATTTTCATATTAATTATGACAGTACAAAATTAGTATTAGGAGGATTAAAATTTTTGAAGAAATGGATTAGGTTTTCTTCAGATTTCGGCACAATTTCCATTTTCTTTTCGTTTGCAGTTACAGATTTTTTTTTTAAATAATATGGGAGATAGGCTTTTGAAATAAGACCTTGGGACACCTTCAAGCAAAAATGAGAATTTTGATTCAATGATATATGAACTTTATTTGGTTTTTATAGTCTATTATTTTATTACAATTAGGCCCCGGGTCGACTTTGGTGACCTGTATGATCTGATTTAAACAAAATCAATATAAATTGACGCGCTAGACTTTTTTTTACGCGACTTTAATTTGTAACAATTAATTAATGAATGAAACTATCGACGTTACCGATAGTACAACTTCTTCTAGAAAACGAAAAACATTGCGGAGTAAACAATTACAGGTAAAAAAAAATTGTCATTTATTAAACATTAACTAATACATTTTTTTATAAAGCGACAAGTGTTTTAGTAGAACTTGTTTATTCTGGCGGAACCGATCTGATATCGATCAAAAGAAGTTGTCTTAAAGCTAATACAATTCGGTGGAAAAAAGATGTAAAAAAAACAATTAGGATTAATGCTCAAAAAGAAAATAATAAATTTTAAAAATAAAATAAACTTTATATAACTTTTTTTTATTCACGGCATTAATATAAAAAATATATACATAAATGAAAAAAAAAATTCTGAAAAGCTTCTCACCGTTTTGCTTAACTTAAAATGACACGCGGGTGACTCAGGCGCAGCGATCGATGATTTTTATAAAATCTTGCGCCCCTTTCTTTTCTTTAGATTCCTCTTCGAAATCGGATGGTTTCTGTTAGTATAAATGCATTCGTTGTTTGATTTTTATTTTGTTACCCCTATTCCAATGTTTTATTAATTAGACTGTATATTAAAGAAAATTTTTGAAATATTTAAAAAATAAAATATGTAAATTACTTTGAATTTTCTTAAAAAAAAAAAAAATAATTCATTATTTTTTCAAGAAATTTCTTGATTATAAAAAAAAAATAAATTTAAAAATAAATAAATTTAAAAAGTAATAAAATAAATGTAACGATTTGTGGTAAGTATTTTAAAAATCAAACCGCCTTCTGCGTTATTTTCTTGATTTTTAGGTGTCGAGGCGCAGGTAAGTATTTAAATTTTTTTTTCTATATATTAAACCACAGTCCGTTAAGCTAGCATAAAGTAACCCTTGAGATTTCGGATTAAACAATAATCGGGTCGAGTTGAATCCGAGTCGAACAATGATTGGGTCGAGTCGAATTCGGGTTCTGTAATTATTAACGGGTTCGAGTTCGAGTATTCCTTAAACCAGACCCGACCCGACCCTTACGTGCAACATTTTCTTATGATTTTATAGTTTAGCATGTAATGGGACCATAATTTGGTCGGTTGCGATGGTTACAGTTATTCCCATTTCCGAGGAGATACAATAATCAGCGAAGGAATTTAAAGAAACAAAAAAAGAATAGTTATTTTAGTAATCCATTTACTGTAAATATTTCAAATTAAAACAAAAAAATAAAATAAAATAAAAAAAAAATAAAAAATTTTATTTACCAAATTACCGTGTCAACGGAGCTAGCCATACGAACGTTCCCGTAACAAAATCGAAATTTTTTCGTTAGCATATTGCGAAACATATAAATGATTAACGACTATACAAATTGATACGACTGCAAAGAATAAAAACAAATGATTTCAAAGTGACAAATAAAGATCTCCCATTATTGGCTCGTATCTTCAACATGGGGATTTATGTAAAATACTTACCGTAAAAAGCCTTTACAACCAATATCACTACATTCACCATCGACCAGTGGCAGCAATAATAAAAATATTAACAAGTTAAAATTGTTATTTTAGAAATTTCTTAGAAAAATCATGAGGTAATTTTTGTTGTACATTTTAAAATAAAATGTTGATACGGAAAGAAGGATTTAGGGTTGTTATTATTGTGTTAGAGTGATAGGTTTGAAAAAGGAAGTGATTTTCTTTGTTGAATACCATCATTACATTTAATACTACTATAAATTCAACCATTATGTTTAAACAAAGGATTAGCAAACTAAAATAACTTTAATTAAATAAATATTTTAACATTGTTACGGATAATGTTTTTAATGATAAGAAATTGAATGGAAAAAAAAAAATATATTTTTAAAAAGGGAATAAATCAATTCTTTCGTAAAATTTAATTACCTTTTTTAGGTATGAACCTACCAAATTTGTGAATTTTTAAAGGCCTATTAGCCAAAAATGGCCATAGTGAAGATTAGAACCCGTGTAACAATTGATTTATTGTTAGATCAAGACAAAGATTCCGTACAATAAGATACCACGACATTATGAGAATTGTGTTTCCACTACAAGGAATTTGTTACACTATTCATAATGAATCTTTTATATAAAAGGTTGAAGTTATGATTAATCTTAAAACTATTTAAACACATGAAAACTTGTAAGTTCTCATCAAATATCAATACAATGTCTTACCCAAAACCAACCATAAAAGAATCACAGAAAGAATTTATTCGTACAATATTTTTGAAGATTTTATCTCATCCATTCAGAAAAACAAATCCTTCCCTTATGCTTTTGTGTTCAAAAGATCATCATTACGATCATATTGATATTGATAATTTGCTTCGAGGAGCTTTTAATAAATTTGACCTTAGGCAAAATGAAAACTCCATTTACATCAACTATCAAAGGAATACATTAAAAAACATTTTACCAGTCTGTGAAAAATGGTTTCAATCACTTAAAAATGATAACAAATGGAAAGTTCGTCGGAAACTTAATTTTAGAAATCTCGAGGAGCAAGATTTAGTGAATG